AATTCACATGAAATGGATTTAAGTTTGATATAGCGGGGAATTTGAGATAAACGAGATGGATATACGGTAGCGGGATTCTCCTATACACGGAGAATAAAAGAAAATCTATTGTCTCAATGTAGTCCGTTGTCCACCATCCTCGACCTGCGCGCTATGGAGTTTATAACGAAGTGGGACACCTCAGAATACGCAGCATGCTGTATACTGTATACAGTACATGGGATTAAAGGTATTGACTTGCACTTGTGTTTTTGTTTTTAGATGATTCAACTATATTTCCGACAGTGGCTGTTGGCACGTTTGGGATCGTTCTAGGTCTTCCTTTCCTTGCAGTAGGCGGTGTATCTTTGTTCTCAAAAATTACTGATGAACGAACACAAGGTCAGAACTTAAACTTGTGGTTTATAAAAAGTGAGCAGAATCAAGGCATAGTTTGATATCATTATAAACACTAAGCTGGAGTCATGGGGATCAGTTGCGTTCGAAAATCCCTATATTTTCGCATGGGAAACCTTACAAAGATAACCACTCCCTTCCAAATCAATCCGCCTCCAATGCAATTTAGAAAAAGTATGGCAGTTCATGTAGTGAGATAAGTTATATATACTATATATAACTTATCGGAACGTCCCAGTTCATCGAAATATGGGTGACATGGGACACAACTCGATAGAGTTAATTGTTGAAGGTTTTTGTATAGATGGGAATTTCGAGTGTAGATTTTATACGTCTATTAAAAGTCCTGATGTTTTACACTTTACAATAGGCAATTCCCATTATAGCTAAGCATCATGGGAAATGTGGTAGGCTTCACTTGCACGCGAAATGGCCGCCGCGAAGCGAGCATTTTGCATGCGAGAGAAATTGCTTTATTAAAGTACATTTTTTCCAGAGTATTATAGTTTAAATAGAAGTAATGTGTTTGTATTACATTGAAGTGTATTGTGGGCGAAGTATATCGAAATCGAAGCGAAAACGGACGAAATAATTGGTGTTGAACAGGCGAGGAGCGAAGAATGGCCTCGCAAATACGCTCCGAGAGGAAGGTTCAAGTCTACATTCTAAGGTGAGTACGCTTGGTAGACACCGGACTCCTCGATACAAATACGTGTGACTTGTTGCTTGATTTATATCTCGATTTTCTCAACAATCCAGCGTTATCTCGCGATTTTTTCGCTTCTTGAAACTCTCAAATTCGGCCCATGATGTCTTTCGTTCGTTCGATAAGCATGGCCTCTAAAAGCAGTCTTTTAAAAAAGCCTTGAAAATGTTTTGGCGCGAAAGAAAACCAACCTAAACCGGTTTTTTCCGCCCCAGCTCTGTTACGTTGCCAAAAGCATAAAAAGAAATAATTTTACCGCTGTTTCTGCCGCTTATAATAATTTCTGCTTCCTTTGTTGTGGTCGGTTCATTTCCTATCAAAATAAACAAGTAGGTTCTAGCTAGTTAATTTTAAATATATTAAATTTACCTCTTTTAACTTTGTTAAAACTGTTTAAAATTTGCATAGTTTTGTGCTTAGTTAAATACAAATTTAAAGGTATTTAAAGGCATTCTAGTTTAATTTTTTTCATATAAAGCTGCAGCTAGTGCAGGCAATTTAGTGGACTAGAATATAAATATATTCATATTTTAAAATAAAGAGTAGGTTTTAAGGCAAGTCCTAAAAATTAAATTTCTACATAGTTAATTTTAAAATTGTTAGGATAGGTTTAAGTTAAATTAAATAAGTTTATATTATGAGTAATGAACCAGGAACTTCAATAGAGGCAGATACAAATTTGGCAGCATTAGGGGTAGTTGGACAAAGAGTTTAAAGAATATCCCAGAATTTTCATACCAGAAGTTAGAGGAACATTTGGTACTGGATGCTAAAAAAACACCTGACAACAAGCCTGCTGAAGCATTTAAACATAAAAAAGTGGATACAGACTTTTCAAGGCCGGTTATCCAAGGCAATTTGTGGTCAAGCCAAATGTGAAGAAAGGAGATAAGGCTATTTTCCGGCCAGATCCGGTTCCAGCCGGATCTTAAAAAATTGGTTCCGGTGCACCCCTAGGGGAGATATGCCAATCGAACCTTTACCAGTGTTATGGTTTTTATACGTTGAGAAGGTTGCACTTTGACTTCTTGGTTGTGAGGGCATTTCTATAAATACTTCTGTGCAATCGACAATCACCGTAGTATTGGGATAACTCTCCTTGAAGCTGGAAGGCATGGTTTCTCTAATATAATTTTGTGAAGACCAAATGGGAATGGATCTTACTCGTGTGTATAAAAAATCCAGCCATGTTATCCAAATTCTAGATACTTGGGATTTAGACAAGTTAAATCTATTTGCTAAATCTCTTTCCAATAACCCCAACCTGAGTCTTGTAAGACACAAGAACAGCTCGTCCTCTGGTGATAGCCTCTTCTTTGGCCCACACTTTTCACGTTTTGCAGTTTGGTTTGAGCTGTTTGATGATCCAATATACTGTAACCTTTCACATGCTGGACACAGATAGTTATAGAAAGCTTTAAATGTACCATAATTGGAAAAGCCGGTGTAGAACTCAAACTCACGGCAATATCATTGCTTTTAAATTGATCTATTGAAAAATCACATTGCTGAACCTTTTCCTTCAGCTTTGAAATTTCCTCTTCATATTCTTGGTTTTTCTGTTCAAGAGTCTCAACTACATGTTCAAGTTTTGAAATTTTATTTCTTGAAGATGTTAGCTGTTCTGCCTGTTCATTTATTATGCATCTATCCTCATTTGGGTCTCTTCTATTTACACACTTAAATGTTGTTTTGGGCTTTGTTGGTGTAGGCAGCAAAACTTTTTGCACAACTGTTGGAACATTGTGAAGACAAGTCTTCTTGGCACCCACAAAATGTTTTGAACAAACTCGGTGGCACTTGTTAGGTTTAAAGCTTGCTCGGCCAATCCAGGGTAACCACATATTTCTCAGCTTCATATCAGTTGGAATTTGATATAATGATAGCTCAGGATTTTTTTTAGTACTGCTATCACATTTAGGAATACAACAAGTTGTTCCACCACCACCATTTTTCTTTTTTTTAGAATATGTAGTTTCTAGGTCTGCTGCCAAATTTTTATCTGCCTCTATTGAAGTTCCTAGTTCATTATCCACAATATAAACTTATTTAATTTAACTTAAACCTATCCTATCAATTTTAAAATTAATTATGTAGAAATTTAATTTTTAGGACCTGCCTTAAAATCTACTCCTTATTTTAAAATATTAATATATTTATATTCTTGTCCACTAAACTGCCTGCAGCTTTATATGAAAAAAAATTAAACTAGAATGCCTTTAAATACCTTTAAATTTGTATTTAACTAAGCACAAAACTATGCGAGGTAAATTTAATATATTTAAAATTAACTAGCTAGAACCTACTTGTTTATTTTGATAGGAAATGAACCGACCACAACAAAGGGAGCAGAAATTATTATAAACGGCAGAAACAGCGGTAAAATTATTTCTTTTTATGCTTGTGGCAACGTAACAGAGCTGGGGCGGAAAAAAACGGTTTAGGTTGGTTTTCTTTCGCGCCAAAACATTTCCAAGGCTTTTTTAAAAGACTGCTTTTAGAGGCCATGCTTATCGAACGAACGAAAGACATCATGGGCCGAATTTGAGAGTTTCAAGAAGCGAAAAAATCGCGAGATAACGCTGGATTGTTGAGAAAATCGAGATATAAATCAAGCAACAAGTCACACGTATTTGTATCGAGGAGTCCGATGTCTACCAAACGTACTCACCTTAGAATGTAGACTTGAACCTTCCTCTCGGAGCGTATTAGCGAGGCCATTCTTCGCTCCTCGCCTGTTCAACACCAATTATTTCGTCCGTTTTCGCTTCGATTTCGATATACTTCGCCCACAATACACTTCAATGTAATACAAACACATTACTTCTATTTAAACTATAATACTCTGGAAAAAATGTACTTTAATAAAGCAATTTCTCTCGCATGCAAAATGCTCGCTTCGCGGCGGCCATTTCGCGTGCAAGTGAAGCCTACCACATTTCCCATGATGCTTAGCTATAATGGGAATTGCCTATTGGCATCACCCCCATTAGTATATATACTGGCCTCTGTAGCTCAGTTAAATGGTTAGAGCGCTCCACCAGAATCGAAGAGCAGCAGGTTCGATTCCTGTCAGAGATCCTATATATACAGCGTGTTGCATTTCTCGCAACTGCTCCTGGTTAGGTTTAATAAATATATAAAATTTACACTTATTACCAAATTAATTTTCCATTTCAGGTTTTCTACAAGGTTTTCGTCGTTCTTTTCTTGGTATAGGCACGATATTAGGTACCCTCTGGGGTGGATCACTTTTTCGTCATTTATACGTACTTATTGGTGTTATGTGTGGTTTGCTTGCTATGGTGGAGGTAATAGCTACTAACTACAGTCTAATTATTATGTCATGCAATGAAACCTCGCGCATAAGAAGCTAAATTGGTTTTTCCAAGTTCGAAAGGTTCTTAATATATATTATTAGGCGACATTTACTTGGAATCTAGATGATTTGAGGTCGTATAAGTAGGTTCGTAGCATTGCATCAATCAATCACAATTCACAACTTTTGTCACACACAGAATCGCACCCTGTTTTATGCAATCACTTTTTATCCGCATTCTAATTTTCACGTATTGCTTATTCATCTGTGCATGGCATACCTGTCAGTGTACATTTTGATATTCAGCCAAATACAGGGTTTATTTTAACATGCAGCTCTACACAAAATGTGCAGTTTTCTAAACCCATTTGTGCCGTTCTTAAAACACAAATGTGCAGTCACCAAATTAACAAAAATATAACCTTAATTTTGAACAGTCTTCTCATTTACTCGTTTTCCTTGTGGATGCCCTAAAAAATGCCAGAAATGCTGTCATTGAGCATAAAAAATATATACTTTTTCTGGAAGAGAACAACCAGACCTTCCTATTTTCCTCACAAATCACTTGCGTGCTGGGGTAGTGCATGGCTCTCCAAAAGAGATTAGAGTGAGAGAACCTGATATTCTTTGCTGCCTGAAATGTAAATTTAAGGTTATACATGTATATTGAATATTCATGATTATCAGTTACATGGTTTGAAACAGTTTTTGTCGGTGGTTGGGTAAAACAAGTCTTTGCCAGAACTTAATAAGAACCCATAGATTCGAACAATTTTTGGGAACACTCTCTAGCGCCCCCACCCAAAATTGAGTTTGTCTGGCTTTTCTCCCACCAACTACACCTTTGATTCTGACACCTATATACAGCTATTTCAATTAAGGTTGTCCCCCGAGCAAAGCGGAAAAGTCGATTACGAGCGCGAAAGGCTGCTGGGAATCGCTAATAAATTCATTCGCTCGTATTTGACTTTTCCGCGTTGCTCGGGGGACAACCTTAATTGAAATAGCTGTGTGCAAATTAAGAGTCTATCATAATTTACAACTTTAAACGTTAAATATCTAATCTTGGTAAAAAATACTTTGCCCCCCCCCATGGGCGGATTTACTGGGGGGAGGGGGTAAACCCCCGCTTTAGAATCTTTCTAACCCCTCTTACAAAGTGTTAAACCCCATCAAAATTTTGCGTCACCCCTCCTATTTCTGCGAAAGTCTTTAACCCTAACAACTAACCCCTGCCGAAGCTCACTCAGTGGTGCTGCTTACACCCCATTAGAAATTTTTCCACCCCTTCTTAAAAAAACCTCGCCCTCCCCCCAGTCAAACACATGATGCTTCGTAGCATCCCTATGTGCAGTTCTAAATTTTTGGTAAAATAAACCGTGGGCAAATAATTACAAGATAGCTTTGGTGTTCGATAGTCAGCTTATTATTTTGAAAAAGGATCATGCATAAGGTTTCGGTGTATATTTCTTTAGATTATGATGATTCTATCATTTCACCGACTGCGGGACCCAAGCGAGACCAAAAAGGAAAATGATTCAACAGGCGAGGAGCGACAACCATTATTAACCTGACAAATAATACACAAGTTCTCCAGTATTGGCACCTACATTAATTGCTCAAAGAATACTACTTTGTCCAATGTAGATAAGTAAAAGATGTAGAAATTATGACAAATAATCATACGTTAAATTAAAGATTCACAATTATACAGTGTGTATAAGAAAAACTATATACAGTTCACAAAACTGAAAATTCCGCAAAATACGTGACAACTTTATGTTGTATGTATTATAGATAGTTTGAGGTCTTGTGCGTGGTATCTCGATCACAAAATTACTCTGAAAAGTAAATTTTCGAGTACAGCAGGGCTGTTTTTAAAACCACTTTAATTAAAAATGGCTTGTGCGCAAAATGATAGATTTGAAACGCAGTTTCAATTCTTTGCCTGCAAATTGAAGATTTTTTATGAACTATGAAACATAATTAAAGTACCATGCAGACAATTTGATGTACATTATAAGTTCAACCTCTAAAACTTGGAATTTTTTGCCATAGTCGCCTTTGGCGCATAACTTTTAAACATTTTGTAAAGATTTTATAAGAAATCAATCATGCATAAAATCAGTCGCGCGTGTGATAAATTGTGTCCGTGCATGAAAGGCTACTATGGCAACATTTTAGAGGTCGCACGTAGGACTTAATGTACATCAAATTATCTCGTACGTTTTTTGTTCATAAAACACCTTCCACATTTGCACCCCATGAATTCAAACCGCGTTCTAAAACTTACAGGTTTGTGCGCAAGTTATCTTTAAAGTGGTTTTGGAAAACAGTCCTGCTGCACTCGGAAGTATACTTTTCAAAATAATTTGGTGATAAGATACCAGATAACCGCAAACACCCAACTGACAAAAAGTTGCCCACAAATATTGCAGAATTTTCAGTTTAGTGAACATTTAAGAACTGACTGTGTAGTTTTTTTATACACCCTGTTTAGTGAGCTGGATGCAGGTAATCCCACTTTAGCATGTTCGCGTGCGTTGTAGACATTGAGTTTATCGATAAATTTTTACGCAGCTCCATGCAGTGATACTTTTTGCTATGATTATAGGAAGCTGACCAAATACGAATCGAATAAGTTCAGTTTGCGCGGTCGCGTAATCGCATTTTTCCGCTGTTAGGAATTGGGTGCAGAACTATTGAAAATCGACGCCATTTGGATTTAGAATCATGAATTTTAACTTGAAAAGCCCTAACATATTTAATAAATTAAATAATTGTTGATAAATGCTGTCATTTCTGTTAAGCTTTTTGTTTGACTGGACACAGTAATGACTGTTATACACTAATTAAATGCACAAAGGAGGAAAAAGTGTGATTCGACCGGCAATTTTTAATCTGCTCGTATTTAGTCCTTTCCTAATTCAGTTCCATACTATGGAATTTGCAATTGCATCACTAAATCCATAGTATATTTATTCCATAGCATGGAAATGGACCATTTGCATTATAGACTAAATCTTGATCTGGACGAAAATTTCATCACAGCTTTGAAAGAGCATCACAAAATTAGTAATATTCCAAAGTTTCGTTGCGAATTGTTGTAAAATGCGGATAATATATATAGCCTTGCGAAGTTTGCCGTTTTTCAGTCATTTTGTATTACGTAAGGGAAATTGACAGCCCAATCGGGTGTTGGGACATCAATTTCCCGTTTGTAATACAAAATGACTGAAAATTTAAAATTTCGCAAGGCTATATTATCCGCATTTTACAACCTTCGCAACGAAACTTTGGAATATTACTAATTTTGTGATGCTCTTTCAAGCTGTGATGAAATTTTTGTCTAAACCAAAATTTAGTCTATAATGCAAATGGTCCATTGCCATTAGTATGAAAATTGGATTTCCATACTATCTCCAACGGAGATTAATCCACTGGAAATTTTTTCAAAATCCTTGCTATGGAAATATTTTTTAATGTTCGTTGGTATATAATAATGTTTAACATAATAATGTTTAATGTTTTTTAATATTTTTTAATGTTCGTTGTTTTTCCAATTTTTATGCTAATTGCAATTTCCATACTGTGAATATACTATGAATTTAGTGATGCAATTGCAAATTCCATAGTATGTAGTTCACTATTTTTTTCCTAGTGATCGTTATTATGAAAAAATAAATCTATACAGTCATGCAATATTGAACGCACAATAGCACGCTAAAGTTGGGTTACTTTTTCATGGCCTTGTATATCGTAATAAGATTTGATACAACCCGAGCGATGATCGTGCTAGGATATACCGATCGATATCGTTCTTGTGACAGGCTAGAAAAAAATTGAGGGTAAAGCTTTTGTCTAGAATGGTATTTCGAGGATGGAAGTGGAATAATTGTGGCTGAATTATCAAATTGCAGAATAGCTTATATGCAGTATAGTTGTCTATGTATAGTACAGTAATGATATTCACTACCCGCTTCCATACCTGAATGATATTGGCTCATCCTCCTTCATGGCCTGGCAACCGAAGTGACCTGCTATAGTTACCACGCTCAAATTCTTGTAACCTCGCACCAAATTATAAACTAATGTGTCAATTGGGAACGGTAATTCCGCATACTTACTCATATAATTATTATAAATTATTAGTTTTATTTAAAATAAATTTTTTTATCACTTCCTAAATTTCCTAGTATGAATGCAATGTGACGTTTTGCAGCACGTGCGTAGGCCTTCGAAGAAGCATACACTTCAAAATCAAATATTTGTCTTCTATTTAATTTTTGTGGCTTTGAAGTTTGCCGGGCTTCCAGACCATCATATCGACTATATAGTGAAAAACGTGAAATAGTGATGAATTAAACAAGTTTTTTTCAGAAAGGAAATAGCATAAACCGGTGTAGTCTTTGTATAGAAGTTAGCGATAATGTCTGAAGAACACATGCCTTATCCCAAGCATTCAAAGTTAATTGCATTTTAAACTTTATTCCTACTTCAGCAAGTGCAAATTAAAAATAATCGACTTCAAAATGGCGTGCGTTATATTTGCGCGCGCGTTCTGGAAGAACTAATGATTAATGACGTCACAACCCAATTATCCAATTACATTCAAGTAGAACAGCCACTGGCATGCCGTAAGAACAAAGTACGGCGATGTCATGTGGTAGACCAAATGGTTTTGTTGAACTTGAAGAACTAGTTCATCGTGATGGAGCGAGGGATGAATGGGAGGAAACAGCACGATGGATTACACTTGAAGAAACAGTAGAATCAGATCGCTGGAGTAAACCACACGTGCCATGTTTATCGCTTCAGGGTCTACAGAATGTTCGAGATATTCTGGAAACATGTCCGATAGTAACAGACCTCGCCGAAACAGAAATGACAGCAATCGTGGAAGCATTAGTAAACGAAATGGTGCGTTTTGGAACACTAGAGGCTGATCTTCGGGACTCTGTTGTCAGTTTACTGTTGTTGAATCATCGTCATAAGAACCAAACTAAAGCTTCTCCACTCTCACGTCGTCTTACCCGACATTTCAGTATTGATGTTCCTGAAGAGGACAAAGATCCGGTACCTGTAGACGAAGATCCCGTCACCTTTTCTCGCTTCTCGTAAGTTGAACCTTTATAATTTACAGTGGATTTATATTACCGGTTGAAGCGGCCCAATCAATCGGATTCAATCCCTGTGCACTGTTGAAATGATGAAATGAGAATATTAGAGATCAAGATCCTCCTGACGGATTATCTCTTCTGTGAATTGATTAAATCGTTGCTTCCAAACGGTATTTACCTTTCCATTTCACACGAGACACACGATCATAAAACGGCCCGAATTCGAGCACAGCGCACGAATTCCCGTGTTTAAAAATTTATAAGCGTCGAAGTATTGTGTCTAAAACGGATTGTTGCAGGCATTTAAATACAAACGGATCACCAATCAAGACGAAGAAGTACGCAGGTTGTTTGTCTTGGCTGATGGTCCGTCGGTTTACCGCGTTTATATACAGGCAAAGAAGTGGATGAACTACTATAGCAATTTGACCTCGAATGTGACAACCAGGGGCCGCGGTTGTATAAAACTCTTAATCACTTTTGTAATCACTATTTTGTAGTTGAATACTGGTTAACTTTAACCACATAGTTAAGTCCGTTGTATAAAAATGTAGTTAGCGTTAACTGCAGTTAAAAAGTTCTAGGGTATTGTTAACTTCTAGTTAACAAGTACGGTCGTACTATAGTGGACCAGGAACTGCGTGACCCAGTTTCGATCTTGTGCAAATCGTTAAACGTTCAAAACCTTCGGCTTCGAGATTTTGACTTGATAAACAAATAACTAGACACTTGTGAAACTAATGTTCTCGAAGTTTGCAACGTAGACTGAGTTTGCTAAATGTTTTGCTTTAATTTGGTCATGCAAGATACACTTTATCCGGGCAAAATGTGTCTAGTGCCGTGTGTATATAGCCTACATGCGGTGTAAATCTGGACAAAGCATAGATAACTAAATGCGCAGTTTTCAAAAGTATTTCCTCGCATTTGAATTCGATAGATAAGTTAAATGTCCCACAATATTTAGAATAAACATGCCGTGCCTAAGTCAGCTAACTTTTGCCGTACATCAAATTTTGCCTTGCCGTGCCTGCCATTAATAATATACATAAAGATATTACTCGACTGTGATTGGTTGATTTCAGTGCAGTTAATCCCAAACAGCAGTGCAATTTTCTGTAATCACAGTGCAATTTTTTGTAATCACAGTGCAATTTTCTGTAATCACAGTGCAAAAATCTGTAACAAACTGATCTGATTGGTGGAAAAACATTGTGATGATTAAATCAACCAATCAGTTTAAGTTAAGGCAGTTTAGTTTTAAAGAAGTAACGGTCACAGATTGCTTCAAAACAAAACAAACATGGCGCCGCGCTACACAAAGTAAAAGTTGCCTTCGCGTGGAAAATATGGCTTTTATCTTTATTTTTAAATGGAAAAGCATTTACCTTAAACAAGACTAACAAAAAATACACAGTTGAGTGGAATTTTCAAGCTCTTAGCGTTGTATAATGTGATAAAACAAGGCCAGGAAAACTTTGCCAGTGTAAAACTACAATTGTCTCGAACATTTTTATGTAAATTATTAATAAGTAATAGCATGGATTCTCGTGAAATTTGGATAAACATGCACTTGTGAGTTTTTCAAAGACCTCAAATAGCACTCGTCCTTCAGACTCGTGCTATTTTGAGGTCTTTGAAAAACTCACTCGTGCATGTTATATCCAAATTGCACTCGAAACCATGCTATTACCTATACTAATTACAAAATAAGTTAAGGTAACAAATTATCTGAATTGTTGCCAGGTTAATGCAATTTCATCTCGCTTAAGCCTGGTTCACATAAAATCGTTAAGCAGTCGCAGACAGTCGCAGACAGTCGCAGACAGTCGCAGACATGTGCCGAATTTTTATATGAACGATCTGCGACGGATCGGGAAAGTTGAACTTGGTTCAACTTTCCCGATCCGTCGCCGACCGGTCTCAGACAGTCTGCGCGAATCTGCATTTGTGTTCATATAAAAATTCGGCACATGTCTGCGACTGTCTGCGACTGCTTAACGATTTTATGTGAACCAGGCTTTAGTCATGGCTTCATAACTGCATGCTTGTGCTAAAAACAAATTTTCATGTCTTTGTTTTTCCGGTTCACGATTTTCTATCGGACTATGAATATTATACTGTATGACAGCCAGATAGCAATATTACTCCACTACGCTTTGAGAAACTAAGCCAGCGTGTTAAATTTAGTCAACTTAACGCTTATAATTAATTGTTATAAGAATCTTGAGAAGCTTTAGACTATTGTGATTGTGTTCACAACAATAGACAAGACAATGTCTTTCTTATCGTTTGCTGATATATTTGCTGAATATTAATGATATGTATATATTATTTGCTACGAATACAGTCAAAAATTGCTTGTATCTTGCTTCTAAAGTCAAAAATGAAAAATCGATCACCGTCAATCGATGCGGAATATTGCTTAGAATAATTGTGTCAAATTTCATTCCGATCAGACAAGTAATGACGGAGCCTTTTCAAAGAGCGTCACCCCCTAACAACAACAACAACAACAACAACAACAACAACAACAACAACAACAACAACAACAACAACAACAACAACAACAACAACAACAACAAGATTAGCAGCGATTGGGGACCAGTTCCTGGTCCAAAAGTGGCGCTTGTATCGGAGTGAACAACATTTTTCAGTAAAATAACAATGAAAAGCAATGCTTACCTGCGATTTTCAATCGCTGTCTTTCCTGTGAATGTTTCCTGACAATATAAACTCTTCAAACGCTATCGCTTTGGTGTTTTTGCGAAAACAAAATATATTTTTGCTCGGGAAGATTTCTCGAAGACGACGTATATAGCGCCCATTATACATGAAGAAACATCATGATATATAATTGCCAAACAGTAACACTTTGGTTTAACGTAGACATCTCCAGTAAAAACGGCCTTCTTCGTTGATTTTTCCTTGTTTTCTTGTTTATTTTTCACTATTTTGAATAAAATTCCCGCCTATTTGCAAGCGGTCGTTATTAATTAGTCTTTACTTTATGTAATTTTATTGTTTAACCTCCCCACGCAATTTAAGTATAACAAGACGCTCTATGGAGCGTTAACTCGCTGGGGCTATACAACTGACGCACATTACTGTTAAGATCTAAAGGCTGATTTCCACTGTTGCGTTTTTCGTACGCACGTACACACGCACGTAAGGCCCGTTTCATACGCCGTACTTCACATGTGCCGAATACATTAAAGACAGCCTAGTCCCATCGTTCTGAAGCAAGCGCGAGAAAAAAAGTGGATGTAGTACGAGACAGGGACCTAGATGTGACGTCACCGCTAAAGGTGCTTCTCTCGCTGAAGCGTTCCGCACAGCACACCCAGGCATAAAACTTTTAAGACTTATTTAAATATATTAAAGCAGCGAATAGAGAGAGAGCCTGGGACTAGGCTGCATTAAAGACAATAGATAATGAGTAATACAAAATGACTGAAAAACGGCATAATACAAAATGACTGAAAAACGGCAAACTTCGCATGACTATATTATCCGCATTTTACAACATTTCGCAACGAAACTTTGGAATATTACTAATTTTGTGATACTCTTTCAAGCTGTGATGAAATTTTTGTCTAGAATAAAACTTTAGTGTCTTGAATGTAATTCGATTTTTGACGACTATAGAGACTTTATTATTTATTTCACGAGGGAAAACGTATTAACCATAAAAGTTATCTAACATACGGCCCGACGATTACCGTAAGAGGCACGAGCAAACTTGCCATAAGGGAAACCGAGTGCGAGTAGCACATAAAGACGTACCAGCTAATCCGTTTGAGACTGCAAAGCGCAGTCAAAGCCAAAGAGAATATTTTGAGTCGTCAGAGGCGCAAGAAGACTCCACAGGCACATGAGAAGAAGACTAAGAGAAAGACGAGGCATGCCATAAGAACGGACTTGTCTTCTTTAGTTCTTTAGCGAAATTACTGTGATCAGCCTACAGTTTTGAAAGACATACCGCATACAGCGATCGGTATCATCGATCGGTTGCATATGATCATTTCCGTTTTACTCGCTTTCTGACGCATAAAAATTTAAACTCTTGGAAAATCGGGTTGTACAAAAGCCCAGTTAACACTATCCGGCACTAAGAGTTTTAAGACTGCTCAAAATACACAAATACTGGGGTTAAGAAAGGTCAAATTCATCAAATTGCCATGAAAATATTGAAACAAAATATCAATGCAATCACCTGCAGATACTTGGATACCCTGGTTCCAGAGGTTTATTCTTATTATTTTCATTGCGAAGGGGAGAGGAAAAATAAACCTCTGGTTGAAAGCGGCAATTGATTCATTGAGCCGCGCCAATCAGTTTGAATTCGGGTCAGATCCTGACTCTGTCTCCTGAATGGATGATTGTATTAAAGTTCTCTGATTGGTTCAAATAGAACATCTATAACCAATCAGAGAGCTTTAATACGATCATCCAATCAGGAGACAAAGTCAGGATCTGCAACCATAATTCAAACTAATTCGCGCGGCTCAATAAATCAATCAACCTCGTTCCCAGAACCCTGGGTACGAGGTTGTGAATTAATTCGGCCGCTTTCAACCAGAGGTTTATTTTTCCTCCCCTTCGCAATGAAAATAATATAAATAAACCTCTGGAACCAGAGTAATACTTGGATGACTTTTCTGACTTTGCGGAGATGCGCGTCTGCACCACTGTCTAAAACACTCGTTAGTCAGACTATATGCACACGGTACCGTTTCCGTCGCTTTCCGAGCGTTTTTCGGTTTTTGGTTGTAATGCGTCAATTTCTGAAACTGAAAGTACCATTTTCACGTACGTTCTGTTCACACGAAAACGTATGAAAACGACGTCAGGAGGCAAAAACGTTTCAAATAGTGACAACGATGCCAAAGATTCGTTCTCTATATGTCTGAAACGTTTGGTCGTTTTAGCACTTTGTTATTGTGTAAACAGAAAAGTAGAAGGCGAAAATGAAATTCCGTGTTTGAATTTGGAAACGAAGACTATGAAAAACTAATGCTTTGTCAGAAAATGTTGCGAGAAAAACGATGAATGTGAATAAGGCGCCTAAACGCTAAATTTGAAAACGGCACTGCAAAAACGCTCAAAAACGTCAACTGCATGTGTGCACATAGTTTCAGTCTAGATTTAGAACTTATGAAAACACAGTATAAATTATGTTAAATTTAAATTTTTTTCAGCTTTATATGTTTTAATATAAATAAATTAAAATAATACTACTATCTGAAGACAAACGCACGAAAAAAAATAGTGCTCATCATTGAGCTGTGGTTGCAGTTATTGCAATTGTGTGTTTCGATTTTGTGACCTTATATTTGTTTGTTCTTAGAATGTCATATTTTATATATAAAGCAACCCGATTCCTTTTTAGCAACAACCGACGAACAGATATCCATTTCAAAACAAGAGCCATATTGGTGTCCCTCAGTTACTAGCACACCAATATGATTCTCATTACCTATATCTAACCTTTACAAACTTTTGAAAAACTCGGCAAATTCAACTAGCGTCACTAGGCAATTTGACTTATCCCCCCCCCCCCCAATCCATATCTCTTCGTAACGGCCCTGAGTTAACTAATCCTAGTTAAGGATTTAACTATACAGTGAGCATAGTTAAAGTTAACAACATTTTCATACAAAAAGAAAATGTAGTACGACCACTACAAAACAAACATATAAGCTTACTACTACCAAAAATTGCATTAGCAAAATGATTTATTGGTGCGATATGTCCTGAAATGTTATTTTTATGAATTGGCCGTTTCCATTTATCGACAATTTCTATTTCGTTTCTATAATTCTATGTAAATACCATTCTCCATACAGAAAGTGTGTTTCACATTATGTGTTTTTTTTTGTCAGGTGCCCTTGTGTATGTTTGCAAGTATGCCACAAGAAGAAGAACAACGCATCAGAAGGTGGAAGCACTGGACATGGAACCCTGGCCACATCACGCGATATGGATCTTGCTGAGTTTCGACTCCCCGAGAAATCTGAATCTACAACAGTCCTAGTTGGCTCAGTAAACTATTTGAAACATCCCATCTCTATATTTGCTCGTCTGGCAGAGGGTTGTCTATTGGGCAACCTGATGGAGGTCAACGTCCCTGTTCGTTTTCTGTTTGTGTTGCTTGGTCCTGAGGATGAACAGAATAAATATCACGAAACAGGTCGTTCAATGGCCGCCATGATGTCTGATAAATTCTTCCTTTCTTTGGTTTATAATTTCAAGGTATGCTTTTTGTTTGCAAATTTGGAATGTTCTGAATGTTCTGCGCTTTTGAGGCCGCGGGCAGGGGACTGATTACATCAAGAGTTTTCAGCCTGAAATTGCAGCCTGCATGGCCTCGTTAAGGTCCTATTAAAATGCAACGTGCATTACATACACGAGGAAAATTTCATCCCAAGCTGAAACTCAACTCGGGCGCCACACGTAATCACAAAGATCGTTAAATATCGGCTTTAAGGTGGCTCCCTACAATTCTCTAAAATTCTAGGTATTTTGAGTATCGTTCGCTTTCAACCGAATTTATATTAGATACACTTAAGACAAGGCAATATGATCATTTCCAGGAAAGTTCAGAAGCTGTGTGCTGTCCATTTATGAACAAATTAAAACAGTTTTTGTGTTGCCATGGCAACCATGACGTTTAATCTTTTGCACTTTTATTGTCTAATTTCACAATAAATTGACAATATCTATATTTTCCTTCGGTGAATTTTTCTGAAATTTGTTTTGAAGATTTATGGTACATAAAGGAAAAATCTATTAAAATTTGAAGGGAATTTACAAATAAGTTTTCGAGATATTCGTGAATGACGGTTACAGAAAAAGTTATTTGTAGAATTTCTTAAAATTTGGATATGTTGTACCACTCGTCTTGTATAACAAAAATACAAAGTTTAAAAAAATTTCACCGAAGAAAACACGAGAAAATCATCGCTAAAATCTGCGTGGCCAGAATGAAAAAAAATCGACTCGACATGAGCACGATCTGCGCATGCGTGTAAATTGTAGCGTGTCATTTATAGTGATTTCAACTTTTTGGCTTACAATACATACGAAAACAGATATTTCTGACTTGTTTGATATGAAAATAAAATATTAATCTTGAAAATACTAATAAAAAACACTATTATAGGCATTGTATTAAATCCAGTGTTAGTTTACATTTGTTTTTGTTGTTAAAATCGGTGTGTAAATTTGATTTAGCAGATAAAACGATACCTGTGAATTGAATTGATTGACAGAACTTATATAAGTTTCGGCAACAGTTCACTACTGTTCAAGAGTTAATAGAAGACAGTATCATTATAGTTTGACAGCTCGCAAAACAACAAGTTGAAAATTTTGAGCAATATGAAAAACAATACTGAACGTAAATACGAAAAACACACTAAAAGATAGGTTAAACTAGTTAAAAACATACGTACTTTTCGAATTCAGAAAAAATTAGGATTATGATGAAAAACTGGGGCTTTCTTTGTAGATAAAAACGCCAAAAAACTTCCCACGGCTTGTTTCAATATTTTGGCCGAACAGTAAACACGACGATTCCACGCGCAGGTCGCGAGGATGAAGTCTGATATATATAAATCGTATTTAAACTGTACTAACTGTTGGGAGCCACCTAAATGGATTTGTTTCGCACAGGTGAATTTATAGACATGATAAAATTGTAGGATTTTAACTGATGAAAAGAAGCGGAATAGCTTAATTTCGAGACTATTGTTTCGACTTAAACCCAGTTTAAAATATCAAATATAACAAGTTGTTTAAACTCACTGTGCTGAAATATGTCATGTCATGCCATGGCGTCACGGTAGGCATGTTGTCAAGGAGGTTGCAATTGCTCTATGTTGTCAAGTTTATTTTATTTCCTGCAGTAGCGAAGTTAGACATACCAACAGGGTCATGCTATACACATTTTTAATGTTTGCATTATTCAAACCTTTAGCATTGAACGACAGTTGCTATGGTTAGCTTCGCCACTAATTTTCTGTTATTTTGTGGGCGCGGCAAGACTTCTTGCTATAAAGGTAATGGCCCTAAAAGGGAGGCTGGACGCGCAGGGTTAGATTAGTGTGAGACTAAGATTAGATTAGGATTAGGTTAGATTAAGATTAGATTAGGATTAGGATTAGGGTTAGGGATTAGGGTTAGAGTTAATAAACCTAGAGCCAAGCCTTTTCTTATTACCACTTGGTACAGGCCTCCTAATTCGCCTGTAGCAATGTTTAATTATTTTGAAATTCTTCTAGGTATGCTCGATTCCGAAAATATCGAGTATTACCTCATGGGCGACTTCAACTGTGATTTGAGCTCTACAGTCTTAGATCATGATTCGAAGTCACTCATGGATATTGCCGATTTATATAATCTTTCTCAGCTTATAAATGAACCTACTCGAATCACAGACTCCTCCTCAACATTGTTAGATCATATTTTCACAAATACTCCTGACAAGGTTGTTTGCTCTGGTGTTTCTCATGTGAGTATAAGCGATCATAGTCTTATTTACGCCTTTCGCAAACTTTCTGTGGGTTCATCGACGGGGGTACATTCTTCAATAAACTACAGAAAGTTTAAAAACTTTGATTCTACTAAATTTCGTAATGATATTAGTCAACAGAGTTGGAACTATATCAATCAGTACGAAAACCCTAATGACATGTGGCATGCTTGGAAAGCCACATTCAATTCTGTCGCAGATAAGCACGCCCCAATTCGAGCTAAGCGCGTTAAGGCTATTAAATCGCCTTGGATCACATCTCTTTTGAAAGATAAAATGCATAGGCGAGATGTCCTAAAAATTAAAGCAATTCGTTCCAACGATACTCAAGATTGGCTTTCTTTTAAGAAAATGCGTAATTTTGTTAATTCTGAAATCTTCTACGCAAAGCAAGCCTATTTCAAAAATTTTTTCAATGATAATAAAGACAATCCTAATAAGACCTGGAAGATCATTAATGAACTTACTTCTAAGAATAGGAAAAGCCCTCACATTGGCGAGGTTGATTTGAATGGCGTATTAATTAATGACCCTAGCAAAATTGCTGATGCGTTTAACGATCACTTTTCAAACATCGGACCAGACCTTGCAGATAAAATTAATCTTAATTATAGCAATCGGTCTTATCTTGATTATTTACCTAACCAAAATAATGCTATTTTTCAACTGAGGGAAATAAGTATTCCAACCGTTTACGCATTACTGTCCACGTTAAACACTTCTAAAGCAACAGGTTTAGACAAAATATCTTCTAGGTTAATTAGAGAATGCTCTGACTTAATTGCAGAATCCCTCTGTCTTATTTTTAATCGTTCTATCACTACAGGCATATTCCCAAACGAATGGAAATGTGCTAAAGTTATTCCTATATACAAACAAGGCAAACGCAACTGCGTTGATAACTATCGTCCCATTTCTATTGTTCCTATTGTGGCTAAGGTTTTTGAAAGGGTAATTTATGATCAGCTATATACATTTATAGCTGAAAATGAATTATTAACTAATTATCAATCGGGATTTCGAGGCCTACATTCTACTGTCACCTCTCTTCTTGAGGCTACCAACGAATGGGCTTATAATATTGACAGTGGTAATGTAAATGCTGTAATGTTTCTTGATCTTAAAAAAGCGTTCGACACTGTAGATCATGAAATATTGCTGAACAAACTTAATGCATATGGAATCAAGGGAACTGCGGGTAACTGGTTAAGATCGTATCTAAATGAACGTAATCAAAAGTGTTTTGTTAACGGTCACTTCTCCTCGAATCGATTACTACAATGTGGGGTTCCTCAGGGAACTATATTAGGCCCGCTTTTATTTTTAATCTATATTAATGATCTTCCTAATTGTCTAATACACTCTCGGGCACGAATGTTTGCTGATGACACTAATTTGACATATGCAAGTAATAACATACATGAAATTAATCATAATCTTAACGAGGATCTTGCTAGTGTCAGTGAATGGTTATCATCAAACAAACTTACTTTAAACCAGACTAAAACTGAATTTATGCTAATTGGCTCTCGCCAAAGAATAAACACTTTTCAATCTACTCCTTTATTAGTAATAAATAACGTTCCAGTTAAACAAGTCTCTCATACAAAATCACTCGGCGTACACATTGATGAGAACTTATCCTGGAATGTTCATATTGAGAAACTGAGTAAAAAAGTTGCTTCCGGTATTGGTGCACTAAAACGCATTAGACATTATGTTCCTTTTACCACAATGCAACTTATTTACAAGTGCTTAGTTCAACCATATTTCGACTACTGCTCTGCTGTCTGGGATAGTTGCAGTAGTTATCTAGTTAACAAATTGCAAAAATTACAAAATCGTGCTGCCAGGGTATTGACATCTTCTAGTTATGATACAAATGCCGATTATCTTTTCGAAAGTCTTGGATGGAAAAATCTTGTATCTCAGCGTAGGCTTGCCAAGGCTATCATGGTGTATAAATCCTTGAATGGTCTTGCTCCAGATTATCTTTCTAATATGTTTGTTGATCGCAATAGTATCACAAATTATGCATTGAGAGACACCAGTAACAAACTAGCTTTGTCACTACCGCGTACTAATTACTTGAAAAATAGCTTTAGTTATAGCGGTGCAGTACTGTGGAATTCTCTTCCTACTGAGTTAAGACAGACTAGTACTTTACATAAATTTAAGTCTGACTGTAGCAACTTTATTCAATTATTTTTAAATATTTTGTCTAATTTTATCAATTTAATGCACGGCACTCATGAAAAACAGGTAGTTTTGTAAATATGTATAGTATAATTTATCATATATCTAATTTCCTTTGTTACTTTATCATAAGTGTGTAAAATCCTGATGAGTCCACCGTGACTAAATAAAGTTCACAAAACAAATAGAATAGAGCATTAAACGGCCAATCGGCTTATTTTCCATGCTCTTTCAGATGAAGCAATAACATTTTTTGTTGCCAATACCCTAATTATTAATACAGTTTTAGAAGTTGAAGACATGGAGTTTATGGTTGGGAAGAATTCGGCTAAACCCAATTTGAAGTTGCACTTGTTGTGCATGGCTTGGAATGCAGCCGCTGTATCAAGACGTGAAAATCTGTGATTTAGCGCTGTAAACAGAGCGTGGACAATGTCTAAATTATTCATATAACCATCCTAAAATTGTAAGGTCTCTATTTCGAGAATTAGACACCGACTCATAAAAAGTAGAGGTCGGCTATATTGCGAGTCTGCGAGTCTGCGAGTTGCGAGTTGCGAGTCTGCGAGTTGCGAGTCTGCGAGTTGCGAGTCTGCGAGTCTGCGAGTTGCGAGTCTGCGAGTTGCGAGTCTGCGAGTTGCGAGTCTGCGAGTTTACGGTGTGGATTTATTGCCTCGAAAACGCTCACTTAATTGTAATTTTGTGTGCTTTGACGAATTGATCTTATATTTTATACTTTGACAGACAGACTCGTTTCGCTTTTTCGAATTTCTCAAATTTTGGCGGGAAAATGACGTCATCGTTTTGGCGCCAATATTTTGTTTAAGCGTTAAGACTTCCTTTGTTAATTTTTCTAAAATAAGAGGCTATATTATCTTCTAAACCGAAACAATAATTGAATTATCTTAATTCAATCAAGAGTTATAGAGGATGGAATTTTCAGATTTGGGCTATTTTGGACTATTTTAAGTAACAAAATGGCCGAAATCTGAACGTTCCATCCGTTATAACTCTTGATCGAATAAAGATAATTCGATTATATTTTCGGTTTTGAAGTTTACACAACATATAACTTTTGAAAAATTGACTAAGGAAGTCTTAACACTTAAACAAAATATTGGCGCCAAAAGGAAGACGTCATTTTCCCGCCAAAATTTAAAAATAATATTGGCGCCAAAAGGAAGACGTCATTTTCCCGCCAAAATTTAAAAATAATATTGGCGCCAAAAGGAAGACGTCATTTTCCCGCCAAAATTTAAAAATTCGAAAAAGTGAAACGACAGCATTTCTTAGAATGAAAAGATCTGTCAAAGTATAAAATATAAGACCAGTCTGTCACAAAACATACAAAATTACACTTAAGTGAGCGTTTTCGACGCAATAAATCCCCACCGTAAACTCGCAGACTCGCAACTCGCAAACTCGCAACTCGCAGACTCGCAACTCGCAGACTCGCAGACTCGCAGACTCGCAACTCGCAGACTCGCAACTCGCAAACTAGACAAACTCTAAAAAGTACGCCTCCTAAACCGGGCTTAATTCAATTTTTAGAACAATTATGCATGTGAAGTAACAATTCTGCCAAGATTTCGCTATTACCGAGGCGACTTAAAAATGCCTTTTTGTGGTTGTAACTTTTCTTCAAACTTTGTCCTAAAATACGTGAATTAGCGTTCTAATAAATCTAGAAATTCGAAATTTTCCTCACGCCTATGGCGCTCGCACTCGAAATCCATAAACATTTTGCCCCCCCCCCCTCCCTCCGAAAGTTTAGACCACTGCAAAAGTGCTGAAAAACTGAACGTTTATTTAAACTCTTGGAATGCTATCCCAGTCTCACCGTCTATGCGCTTTAAATAGTTGGCTTTTCTTACCAAACACAAATACTACAAAAGTCGGACCCAGAACATAGGACACTCCCCCCAAATTTTTTTCGAATGTGCGCCCCCTGTGTTCGGCACATACCGGATTACTTTTCATATCGGACCTCCAAAGCGAAGTGATTTTCGATTTTTCGTGCCGCGGCACGTACCGGGTTATAGTGGCGTAGTGTAAACAAGAGCCCAATCCGGTACTTGACCCCCCGTTCGAAAGGAGGATCTCAATGATGGTCTTTGTTTTAAAAGGGGGTAAATACTCGCCGAAATATTTACAATAGAAAAATTGAATCGTAATGTAATGCGAAACCACTCGGTGTGCTGCCATTTTACTATTATGAATATCAAACTAAATCTACTGCTCCCTTGTCTTACAAATATCTATACCATCATTTTCTCATGTTTACTTGCGCGTTTATTCAAGGCTCTTATTTTGTCAACCAAATATTGCCCAAAAATATAAAGTTGATGTTCAGCAATATCTATCGTATTGTTCGCTACTAAGAAATACAAAACTATTTATACAAGATCAAATAAAATATGATATCTGTCAGTTAAAAATTATGAGTTCCTTAGAGGCTTTACATCCGTGGTTAAGTTCCTGTCTCTGGCGATGAATATATTTATTTATTTTTTTATTTATTTAAAAATTCGCCCTATTTACATAATTAAGATAGAATATACAGTATAACGACTGTTGAATATGATACTAGAGCTAGGAGCCTTTAAGAAACTTTAAGAAGCTTTTAGTGCAAGGCCCCTATTACAGCAAATATTAAATTCAAACGATAGCTATATGTCAGTTAATATATAGTACATAAAATTTTAAAGAAAGTTGTGATATAGTTTTACAATAATATAGGACATATAGATATACAACAAATATGAAGTTAGGAGTGCATGATGATGGAAGCGTTGTTTTTACCCTACATTGTTTTAGACGTCCATGAATAATATAATATAATGCTGTATTATTATTCTTGCGTTTGATAATAAATTTTAGCTTGTTTTTTGAACAATTGGTAAAATTGGATGGATTTTAAATCTTCGTTCAAATTATTCCAAATATCTACTCCTTTATTGGAGAGAGTATGTTTCATATAATTAGTTCGGCTGTAGGTTTTATGTAGTTTTTTGGAACTTCTAGTATTACTATAATATATAGAGATTCTTTGAAAAGTAACAAAGACCAATATCCTACAGTTGTTGAATATAATTGATTCAGAAGTGAAGTCGTCTAGATTAAATAGTGTATGAGGAAGATTAAATAGCGTTCTATATAATACGCGAAGTGTTCGCATGAATTTACATGTATGTGCTTGTAAACTTCTGATTCTTTACTACGGGCATGCTTTTGCCTCTAATTACTACTTAGCCTTGTCATCAGACAGCGATCTGGCCTTCCGATGTAGGAATTAGCTTGATATTCAGGGCAACTATATCTCATGGAAGTGAATGTCGTTACTGTCAATTCTTCGTGTGTAAATTGAATTTGTGGGTGAAAAGAATTGAATTTTTGTAGTACTGTAAGTATGTCAGATGGTCTAATCAGTACTAGTGTGTCGTCTACGTATCGTGAGTAAAATTTGATTTTCAATTGTTAGAGGATATTAGTGGTCTCACAATTTCATCCTTAAAGGTAGTCATTTATAGGATATCAGCTACAGTAGGCCCTAAGGGAGATCCCATAAACGTCCGTCAATTTGTCGATAGAGAAGGTGTTTTTGTGCAGGAATCTAAGAGTAGTTTCCCAAGTGTTCGTTTTCTTATTGTGATAATAATGCGTTTGTCTTTCTATGTCTTTGCTCTGGATGTCAAGCTTCTTATACATCGGAAAGCCAGATCGCTGTCTGATGACAAGGCTAATTAGTAAATAGAGGCAAGAGCATGGACGCGGTAAAGAATCAGAAGTTTACAAACACATAAATTCATGCGAACACTTCGTGTATTATAGAACGCTATTTAATCTTCCTCATACGCTATTTAATCTAGACGACTTCACTTCTAAATCAATTATATTCAACAACTGGAATCTCTATATATTCCTCGCCAGAGACCGGAACTTAAATTAGCCACGGATGTAAAGCCTCTAAGGAACTGATAATTTTTAACTAACAGGCATCATATTTCATCTGATCTTGTATATATAGTTTTGTACTTCTTAGTAGCGCGTCATTCCTGACTATTAAAATGTTAACTGTTTTCGGAGTGTCCATTGTATTGGTACCCATAATTGTTAGCTAGACTAATTTGCGCACGATTTAATTTACTGGCAATTAGGAATTCAATTAGCTTAATAGTCTAATACGGTCTAATGTAAAAATGTTCAAAAACTCACCAAGCGTTGTCGAAGCAACACTCTTTCTCTGGATCAAGCTCTTTCCATCTGTAAAAAAAATGCATTCGTATCTGAATATATAAAACGGAATAAAATTCACAGAAGGTATTTTTGTATTTGTTTGAGTTTTGACGCATAATTAAAACCAGAGATAAAGCTAGCAAGCAGTCGATCTCGAGAGTAGAAGATTTGCAAGCAATTTTCAGTAAATAGTAGGCGATTAAGGAAATGTATTGATGCGAACACAACAACAAACGGACAAACTTACAGGCAGAATGTAATGCGGGCACGGGCCCAGCAATAGCTTTACTCCTTTAGTCTAATGTAAAAATGTTCAAAACTGACTTACCACACGTTGTCGCAGCAACTGCACCCTTTCTCTGGATCAGGCTCTTTTAATCTGTAAAATCATCATTCGTATCTATATATATACTAGGTTACCCACAGGGCAGTAATGCTGCCTTTGACAGCAAAAGACAAACTACAGGGTGTTGAACGAGTGCTTCAGTACCCTACCACGGACTGAGTATTAAAAATCGTCTGGCGTTGGACAGGGTAAATACTAAAGTAGGGGCCATTACTGTGTTGATGAATTAACAAGAGCCATTGGCAGATAGGTTTGTTAACCCATTTACTGGCAGTATCCTATACCACTGACGAGTAAAATCTTCTGGCGTTGGACAAGGGAAGGGCGCATTGCCAGCTAATGGGTTAAACCAGCGTGGTTAAACATAATATTTCATATGCTCCAAGAAATGTAAACAAGCTATCAGTGTGACATCCCAGTTTATATATTTATATACTCGGAATATTGATTTCTCGGTATATACAAAATTATTTTAAAGTATAACAACCTGCAGCGAAGACGTAGGCCACTAACTACCCTGCGCGGCTGCGCGCAGACTATATAATGACATATATACGTCATCCGTCCGGTCCGTCCGTCGTCATCCGTCCGTCCGTCCGTCATTCATCCGTCCGTCCGTATCCGCGTTTTATCCTAACCCGTTTTTAAAACACAAAGTTTGCATAATTAAGGTAAGTGCGGTTCGTCATGATCAACATTTTCAAAAGCGGCCAATTAGACCAGGGGTTAAAGGGCAATGACAATGCCATGCAGGTGACATTTAACATTGCGTCTCACTAATTAAAATTGCGTGTTTAATAATGTTTATCAAAGAAAGCAAAACAGACAATCTCACATGTGGAATTTTTTCACTTACGTACTTGCAGTACAAGTGTAAATACAAATGACAAAGCGTTTGTAAATTCTAAAACATAATTAAAAAATCATACGGCACATTTAAGATTTTAATATCGTATTTCAGCCGCGTTTATACTGTTTGGCGCATTCGCTGCGTTATATTCATTTATATACACAGAAAAGCATGTCATTGTTCATGCAGACCATAGGCAAAAAGCATTTGTCAACCACATACCAAAATTAAGCAATCGTTAAATCATATACATGTCATGGAAAGAATATGGAAATAATGTTGAATGAAAGCTAGCATCGCGTATAATATTAAAAGCACCGCATATTATTAGTGCTCGAACCACTGCGTATAATTGCAAAAGCACCGCGTATATAAATGGTGAAAGCACCGCGTATAATACTGGAACCACCGCGTATAATGGCGAAAGCACCTTGTATAATGCCGAAAGCACCGCCGTATAATGCTAAAAGCACCCAACAAAATGCCGTTTGATCACTCTAAGCCAGCTATGGCTTTCCACTGAAAGAAGACCAAAGATGAAAGATGATCACATCGCCTGTTTGCCTTATGCCTGACCGCGCTGCACCACGGTTAAAATTCACTGGTACCGTCATGCAATGCGCCAAATAGAAAATTTTGATTTCGACCCACAAAACAAAATTAGGATCTGCTGCCTTGCTCGCTCGCTTCAGGCTCGCTCGCTGCGGCAGCAATGACGGAATATAACATCTCGTGATTAAGGTGTCAACACAATGTAAACTTCCCGTCTAGAAATTATGAAATTTTCAATGTAAACTTTCCGTCTAGGAATTATGAAATTTTCAAAATATCATCTTACATGTTCAAAATGGATTCAGGAGATTTTGACACGATTATATTTTTTCTCGATGTACTCATTCCCTTGGTATTTCTTTTATATATTTACACGAAGATTTTCATCACAACCAGAAAGAGTCTTTCTTCTGGTAACAGACCTGGAGATAATGCAGCGCAACCAGGTATGTCAGAGATGAAAAGAAAACGACGATTTCTGAGAGAATTGAAGTTGGCAAAATCTTGTTTTTTGGTTACATGTACTTTTGGTTTATGTTTCTTACCTTCAATGATTCTTGCACTAGCAATAGATTTTCTAGACGGCGAAACAGCCGAAATCCTCTGGAGTTGGACGACAACTTTATCTGTAGGCTACTGAACTCCAGTTTCAATTCAATTATCTTTTTCTGGTCCAACGCAATGTTGAGGAAAGAAGCGAAAAAAGTTTAAAAAATATGCTGCTGCAAAAGTTCACCATCTTCCTAATTGTAGAAGAACACCATGCATTCTGAAAAACAGGCTTAAGATCAATAAATATACTTTTTGACCATGGAGACAAAGGTTTTATAATTTCCAGTTTAACACATAAATATGGTTTAAATTCCTATATAATTAAAGAATATGCAAGGCATGTTCGATATTTAGAAAAAGTTGGCTTTTCCATGACAAGTATGGCGAATAAAATATTTCAAAAAATTAAATTTTAGTTTTTCAATTTCTTTCAAAAACTAGTTCGGTTGATAAATCATCTAGTACTAAGCAAATACTAACTACTTTTGTACTAAGAAATTTTTTTTGAAAGTTTAAAAATTTCTGTTGATTCATCACATCTTTGGAATGAATATTCAGCTTTTTTAAAAATTTCAATCAACAGAATTTTTATTTTTTATCCTGGACACCAAAAGTGAATATCTGCTCGTGTACAAATTTCCAGGGTAACCTAACGAACTCGTTTGAGAGATATGTTGTGCTTGTTGTGGTGGTTTCTCGCGAGGCTGAGCTGTTTTTCCCCTTCCTCAAGATCAATCACGGCGTACACAATTTTGCAGGCGCAATCAGACAAGAATACACAAAACCCACGCAGTCGGCATGTAAAAGGTTTATATTATGGTTCAATAAAATTTTTATATATAAAAAATATAATTGGATTTTTGTAATTTCTCCTAGCTACTGTTTGATATTTAAAACATTATTTGATTGAAAGTATTTAACAATATTTGAAACAATTCGTTTGTTTTTCATCACTCTTGGGCGACTTTTTGCAAAAGTTTTACTTTGCGAACGATCGTGTGGTTCATATGGCGGCATGGAGTAGTACTCCAACAAGTCCGGTTTCACCAAATCTTTTCCACAACGTTAAAATTGGGCTATGGTCTTCGTTTTGGGAAGTGAATATTTCCTACGAAAGTTTGGTAGCGATCATGCAGATTATCGATAAATATCAAGTAAGTTTTTACATCAGGGACTGAAGATATCTGGCAGCAATTTACTATTATCTTTACATCAGTGGCCATTGCAGAACTGAATCAGATTTTCCTTGGGGAAATCACACATTTTCTAATGCATCGCGTGTGTTGAAATATTCGTCGAATAAACACTTCTAGATATTGCCTAAATTGGCTTGACAGGACTCGCCGTTCGATTGCTTCAATGGGGAATGTTGGTGGGTAAACTGTCCCGAAGCAAATTTTCATGTTATGAAGTAGTTTTTCGAATATATTACCAGCATCGCGGAGAAGTGTAGGCACATCGAATGTAACGGCATTGTGACCAACGAGGACAGTTACAAGGTTGTCCGCTTCAACTGGATTTGCACCACAGGTATGTAATTTTTCTTGATTATGAAGGGATTTTGCAAATCATTGGTATGGGATTTCAAGGAGGACTGAACTTACTGGGTTGAATTAAACTTTTGCACAAAGTTCTTGTCCCATTTATGATTTTTCTGCAGTAAGATTATTGGCAAAAAGAACCTGTAGGCATGATGGAAGAGAAGTTTTCCTCACTTTTAACCATAGCTGAAAGCTGACAGATTTCAGGTTGTACATGTTTACCCGTACAAGTTAACTAGTTTCAGTGTCAAATAAAACAAAAAGGTATTTTTTCTGGATTACAACTAATGTATTGCTTCTTTGGTCTTTCTATAACGGGTGGAACTGATTTTGTGAATTCTTGATAATGATTTGTTGTAATGCCCATGATAATGTTATCAATATAATATCAATATCAGCAGAGTTACGTGTGACTGAACTTTCCTTTTCCAGATTCAGTCCAATACCAGTTCCGTACGTTTTACTTTCTTTTTCTTCTTTTTTTGCATTTTTTGAAATCCTTTCTGATTGAAGCTGATTTCGATTTTATATTCTTTTGAAGATTCTTAATTCTTTTGTTGTTTTTTTATCCATTATAGAACGGCGAGAGAAACAAGTGGCACCTGTATGCGTTATTGTTGTAGCTAAAGACAATGTTATTTTGTGCCACTGCCCATGCAACTCGAAAGTCATTGTTCTCGCTTCCTCCAATTATGCTGCTTAGGGATTCGTTTCTTTGTGAGTTGGCAAATAGTAGAACTTTTTCAGTTACTGTCTCTGTGGCATATTTGTCAAAAAAGTAGTGGTGATCGAGTACTTTCAGGGCCGGAACTACTGGTGGTGGAGGTTTTACACCCCCCAAAGAAAAGTCAAGAAGGGGGCCCAACTTCTCCAGAGGGGGCCTCCGAATGCTGGAGTTGCGGAACGTGTTGATTATTCAGTCGCCATTATTTCCTGGGGCCCCAAATGTTTGAGTTCACACCCCCCCCCCCCCAACCAGATATCGCTCAGCACGGCCCTGAGTACTTTCTTTAATTAATTTCCCAGCAAGACTTTATTGTATGGCAGATCTTTATGCTTGTATGTCAAAGGGTCTTTTTTATAACTACACCATGATTAGCAACAAACATGAAGTCCATGATCGTCTCCAAAAGTATGAGGAACAATATTTTTTATAGCAGATCGTCTGCCCTTTATAGCGTATAGACTGGTTTTGTCTCAGTGTTTGTGCAGTACAATATGTAAAGCTTTTTCCTAAATAAATTATAACTTTTTGGCTCCACATTGATGAATTCTCAAATTTACAGCGAGTACAAATGTTGTACAACCTTGTTGTCAGAGACCGTTTGGCACGCACAATATGCGACCTCTTCTGCCATCCCATATCGTATGATACAGGTGTGCCAACTAAGTCATTTTCATTTGCTACTTCCCCATTATTTCCAGCCTCTTCCTTTTCAACTTCCATGTTTTTCTTGCAGCTTTCTTCAGCCAAGATCTCTACAGCTTTTCAACCTCCATTTCTCAATATGTTCCACGATCACTAGAAATACATGCATGCAGCAACCCCTCGCCTATATTTTCCAAATATTGATTTAACATGAAGTATTAGTAATTGATCAACACTGAACGCAGGCTTGCGTTTACGTCAGTGTTGCCATGGCATAGTTCTGTACAACAGTCAACACGGCAAAAATGGTTGAAAAATTATTGATTTTAACTATATAACAATGAATTTCCGAAATATGTACTGTAGGTATGTCGTTCTGGATTTTGTGAGCTTTGATTTAATGTAAAATTTAACCTGAATCGCTTCCTAAAATGTTCTGCTTAAAATTGTTCCAAATTGTAAATTTACTTAAAATTACTTCAAATTGTTGAGTAATTTCAGTTAGGACTTCAAATTAATTTGCTCTCCTTTACATTTTACCTTTTTTCTTAAATAAAACAAGGCGGTAATTTAGGAATCTTACAGCTTCATTAAAAAGGAAAGCAGTGTATGTTTTACGTAAAAAATCAAAGCAACAAAATTCGCAAACATTTATATTCATTAAACATTCAAAGCAAACTTGCCTTATATTTCACGATTTTCCATAGTAAATCAATTGTTCTCATTTCTTCAAACAAAAATTGCTTCAAAGGTCATTGTGTATTTGTGTGAAACGTGATTTTCCAAATATATGCTTTTGACAATTGAAATCTTGCTTATCTCACTCCTGGAAAACAGCCATATTTTTTAGATCAGCGAGGAGGTTCACCCATGAGGTATATACTTGGTGTGACCCCTATTATAATGTACCAGGGCTGATCACTGACTCCATTAGGGCTGCTCCCTGATTGTTAAATCAATTATAAAGTCGAGAGATATGCGACCAAGTAAACGTTATGCAATCAGATCCTATCTGGAACAAATAAACGTTTCAAATTTAATTAATTCGGTGCAATCATGTGATGATAAAGTCTCGATGCTGGAAACGATTGTCAAGATTGGCCTCGATTTTATTATGCCCTTGCAAACAAGGACTGTTACATCAAATGAGCCAGTGTCGATCACTTCCTCTTTGAAAGACCTTACAGGAAAACGACAAAAAGCTTTGAATAGTGGAAGTTTTCAAGAATTCAAACGGCTCCGTAATCGCGTGAATCGGGAGCGGAAAAAATGTCGTTCTAAATATTACGAAGCGAAGGTCAAAAATCTAAAAAGTTGTAAATCATCCTTGTATTTTCTTGTCATAGACACACAGGGTTCTCAAGTCGATCCAATGGTAATTTGATATCGCTGCCATCATCATAGTATAGTGTAGCACAGAAAGGCCTTGTATCATGCATGCAGAAATGCCTTGGTCATTCCATAGTTAATATTAACTATGGTCATTCAGTTTAGCCACTCGATCTTGCATCACAATAGAATTAGTTACGCCAAGTAACATGTCGTACACGTCAGGTAGCAGCTGAAATATTTAATATTTGCCATAATAAACCCATAACCTGTTGGCAAAACAACCAAAACATATATTCACCATTTTACAAATGGCCGAGTCCCGCCGAGATACAATGTCTCATCTACTAACGAAAATTCAAGCCTTCTTTTCGCTATAGCAGCTTTAATAGCTCTTTCAATATTTGCCATTGAATGTAGTTTAATTACTTTAATAGTAGTGTGATTTAAAGCATCTTTAAACGTATAAAAAACTATTTTGTATACTATATTCTGATGAGAATCTGTTCAAACAAATATATCGATTGTGAGCGCGTGCCTGCGCGAATTTAGTAAGCGGAATAAACAAGAGCAATAAAACCGCATGCGCCATTTATCTCATTTTGGATAAAAAAATTCGATTTCCCCAGAGTCATGCCACTACCTAACCCGCGAACAGGCATACTCTGCGAACGAGATTGTGGTGAAATTTGATCTTAAACATGCACAATATTAGCGTAATTGAGTGCTTGGATTTTATTAACCGGCGCGTTACGATTCCAATATCTTACGCTTGTTCTATGCAAAAAGTTAACATGCTTCACTGTAGATGACACTGAGAACACACAGTTTACTTCTTAATGATTTTCTTTGCATTCAAGTTATTTTGTCTGCAGTATTTGTGTATATACATGCCGCCGTGCACGCACGTACGCACGCACGCACGCACGACCATGCAGGCACATTTTAACTTTTTTCGAACGTAAAAAACATAGCCGCGGCCCCAAGGTTACACGGTTTTAAATTGCGGTGCCCGTCCAAGTTTGACACCGGCTTTATATTCTGCCTGTGAGTTTGTACGTTTATGCGCAATCACAAGCATATTTACTTCATGTAATCTCTAAGGGTAATAATAAGTTTTATCGCTGCTGACGCTCCAATTTAATTGTTTACATTTTCTATCGATACATTCATGTACGACTTGCATTTTATTACACATACTTTGAAATAACTTTTCTTACGTATCGATAGTTCGACAACATAACAAATTTCCGACGGGTTTCCGAAGGTTGATATCAAACCAAACGCCATATTGATTGCATCAACTAGCAGAGCCAGAGGCTTCCTTTACGCGCTCACCTTTCCTTCACTTGAAACTTCATGTAAGCCTCACTTTTCTCTCACTAGAAACTTTCATGATAGGTTCTCTCATTCAGGCCTCATCATGATCAGAGAATGGACTGGACGTTTCATTATTCGATATTTTTCATTAGCCTCGTTCCAGGCCGTTATTAGCCAAATTCGTGTGGTTCACCGACTGTTCACGATGCAATCGTCAGGCCTAGCATGGTCTAACTTCAACCTAATTCATGTATGCAGCTTATCATTTTGTCCCGAGAGTGTTGGGTGATAACTAGGTCATGTAATGGAATCCAACTCTTTCACCTGCACTAGACACACTAAAACATCGTGCTTGACGTTCAGACGGTCACATAGTTAGTGTTTATGTTGCATACGATAGTTCCTGTGTGTCATCGGTGTTCCGATGTTCTTTTGACCGCTTAACAGGAGTTAATCGCATTAACACATCTCCAAATGCACTATTATTGTCATCGAATCCACAAGGTCGTACAAAAATCAGTTAGGAACATCGATATAAGAAAAAATTAATCATAAATTGCAACAATGCTTGCAAAAAATAGCCAAGTTACCATTTTTAGTGACCAACAATTACGTTTCTTGAAGTATTGGTTTGGACTCCCAGGGTTTCCGGCAACGAATGCTGGGAACGAGGATGGCCCGAGCAGTGGATATAGTGGATATGTGTCAAGGCCAATCTACACGATACGTCTAGTCGTATACGATTCTTATTCTGGCATATTAGGCCGTGGGATGAGCATCCAAAAGATGCAATTCCGTTGCATCCCTCGTGGAACTACGTAATTTTCACATGAATAAATAGATAAAAACTTACTTTATCAGAATCCGTTGCTCCCCAAGTGAAACAGGTGCACAATTGGGAGAAAAATCCCTCCAAAGTTTGATATTTTCGCGCTTCGAAATATTCGAACCGCCATTGTTTTGATAGCAAATACGCATGCGCAACTCAGCCAAACTCGCACTGCGCACGCGCAGACTATAAAAATAGATTCTCACTGGGGGGTTTCCCCGATTTCCTCCGCAAAAACAACAAAATAAAATCACGGAATACTGATCAAACCTTGTAATATAAATACACCCACATTAAATATTGTTAAAAACACATTGTATATTTTGCTTGCTCATATGCTAAATCACTTCAATTCATTGGCTATTGTTTCAAAATACCGTTTTAACGTTTAATTCTACTTTATATTAACATCCTAATTCAATACAAATTTGTGTGAGGTAAAAAATCCACCTGTATCAAACAGGACGGAGAATAAAAAATATATATGCATACAATTCACACGATCAAGGAACAAATGAAATATTTCGCTAAACTTAAAGCCTTGGCCAAACGTAAGAAACAATGTCGCGGAAATATTCGTGATTTTTAGTTGGCTTTTATTGCAGACGCAAAATTTGCTTCCCAGAAAGCAAATTATTTCCTACCAAATTCAGATTTCAGAAGCATTTTATGAAACACTCTTTATCCGTTTGCCGACGCTGATAAGACAATATGACATACCGAAAGATTGGAAAGACAAATAATATGACAACAGTGTTTCCCAGTTCGTCCCGGACTTTAAGGGATATTTATATAAACTCGAAATTCATCATAAAAAAGATAAATTGGGAGGAAATATAAAATTCATTAACAAATACAAAACATTATAGCTATCTATAATTGAAAGAAATGTTTTCATCTTTGAACCCAGATTTTCATCAGAGCAATAAAATCCCACTTATTGGATCCTGGCCAAGGGCTTGCATGCTCAAAACGAGATTGCATGTATTCTGCAATAAGCTGTCCTGGCTTTTGTCTGGTAAAGTTCTACTTCTCCTATTTGAACTATTACATGTATTATATTTATATTGTGACATAAGTTGGTATTTAGCCACTATCTAGAATAACAAGGAACGATTCAGCCTGGTTTTTCATGTCCACACTAGTTGACTTTTTCTTATAGATTTGCTGCTGTGAGTTTCAGCTCCTCCACCAGGGTGCGTTTTAGCTTCTCAGACATGACTATACTGTTAACCCTGTCCATGAGAGGGATATATGTGTTGATAATATAAATACTGTGGATCCGAATGAGAATATCAAATAAGTAAATAAATACTGATCTACTCCACTGATAA